GCGAGAATTTATCGCACGAACATATAATAAAGAAGAGTAACAAGAATATACACCAATATTATCACTTGCAAAAGCCCGAAGAGGGAAAAAAAACGTGGGTTCTAGCCAAGTTAAAGTAATAGACTATATACTCATGAGTATGTAGATTCACCCTTCACCTAAATTGGAGAAGATAGCGTTGTATTTTTTGACAATTACAGCTGTGCGACAATAGTTTAGCTATAATAGTTTTATATGTGCTACAACAAATGTAGTCCTTAGCGATTGTAGTGATAGCAGGCTGTAAGGGCGCCATTGTTAGTAGATGCAAATGCAGTAGTCCGCCACAAATGCTATAAAAACTAGTTGCAATATTATTATGAAATTTTTAAAGTTTGAATTTTTACGGAAGGAAAAATTAAAATTTCAACCAAGATTTGAGATATATATAAAAACATAATCAACATCTGATTGAATTTTAATAACACAAGCAATAAAACAAAGCGCAAGACAAATAACAGATAAAATATGTCGAAGAGAAATCAGAAGAAGAAAACTGAAAGAAAATCTAACGACATGACCTAAAGCAATCGTGTAAGTTATAAAAATTTCTTAAAATAAAATAAAAAGGATTTTTTGAACTTCCGTTCACCATTTTCCTCCTTTATAATCCAATGAATATTCTGAATAATTATATCAACTGAAGTGCGGTGCGCTTTAAAAATTCTGCAATTCTTTTCATAACGAATATAATAAGCTATAATTTGAATAACTAAAAGTTGAAATCTCTCATAGATTTTAAACCTAAAAATTTAGCTTTTTTAAAAGTTGTGGTGGTAAGTAGTGTATTGCATTCTTATCTGACTAAGTGCGGCTGTTGTCAAAAACCTAAAGAAATATTCAAACAACTGCAGTCGTCTCAAGTAATTCTCTCTAATGCAAACCACTTTCCCCAACAAGGAAATCAGACCTACTTTTTTGTAAGCTAATTCGGCAAGCATAATTTTCGAAGTTGTAATTATATTTATTAATGTGTGCTGATATTAATATAATATCAATGGCCACACGGAAAATAAGCTTAAGGAAAAACTGGACTGACAAATTATGCCAACATGGCCAATCTGGCCCAACTCATCTTTTGTAGAGCATCGGCCCATTAATATCTTTAGTCATAATATGATTGTTTGTTTAGTACCTAAATATGTTAAATAAGTTTTTTGAGAAAATTAACTTCAGTTTTGGGTGCTCGAGTCAAGTTAACTTAGGTTTAAATATGATTATCATTGGCCACATTTATGCTTCGGCCCATCTTTCTAAATTAATAATTAGTAAAAGCAAAAATGATTAAAGAAACTCCCCTGGATGCCGAAGGCGTCATTGGGGCGATCTCGCAGTTTCTACGGGGTGGAGACGATGGGGTCGGTCCATGGATTTTCCTTCTTTTTGCCACATTTTGCTCAAAGGGTTGAAGGGAGATAGTGCATCAAGCTATTCGCAAGGGCCAACTTGATCTTCTTTCCTAGGGATCCCAGATAAGGGAACCCTAGGAGAGCCGTCGACTCCAACTATCGTCCATGTACAATTCATACTAGATCTGACCAACTGCCCATCCTACCTCCTCTAAGTTCAAAATTTTGACTACTTGTTGCAAAATCAACATCTTTCTATGTCAAAATCTTAGATTCCCTTTGAAATACTGAAATTCAAGATAAAAAAATTTGAACTCTCTTTCCTATTTTTGTTGCATTTTTTGACAATTTGATGGTGAAGCCCAAAAAGATATATTTTGTCAATTTGATAGTTCGAATAGAATATAAAGAGTATATATTTTGTAATTTAAAAAAAAAAATTGAACTCAAAATTCATTATGTTTTTTAGTTGCATAAAATCAACTTTAAATTGGCTCAAGTGGGAGTTTAAAACTACAATTCTAGGCTCAAAATTTTTATAAAACAAAGTTATGTCTACAACAAGGATTCAAATTCAGATGGTTAATCATGACTTGAATGATGGCAAAAAATACGGAAAAGAACTCAAAATTTAAAGAAAAATAAATAATTAAAATCCCTTCAGCTTTAGTTAGGGCTGTAGACGGCTCAACCTCGGCTCGTTCGAATTTGACTCGTGTTCGAAATTGGCTTGTGTTTGAAATGGCTCGTGAATTGTGTACGTGTTCAACTAGAATAACATATTCCTATTCGTGTTCGACTCATGTTCGACTCGAAATTGATGTTATTTATGGTAGCGTTGTTATTTGTGTGTTTTCGGCAGAAATAATATCACAATAACACCACAATAACACCGCAATAACACTGCAAATTTACTTGAAAAATACAACCATCAAAAACTCGCCGATAACACCACGGTTTAACTCAAATAACACTAGAATAACATCACAATAACACCACAATAACATCATAATAACAGTGCAAAAACACCAGTAAATTTGTGGTGTTATTGTGGTGTTATTGCAGTGTTATTCAAGTGTTTTTTCGGTGTTTTTTGGGGAAACCCGAGGTGTTATAGGCATATTTTGGCGGGGTTGTTATTCGAGTTAATTTGTGGTGTTATTGTGGTGTTTTTGCTTTATTATTTGAGATAACCCGCAAAGTCATTGGTGTGTTTTCTGTGGTGGTGTGTAAATTTGTTGGGTTATTGCGATGTTATTGCCCCCAAAAACACACAAATAACATCGTTGTCGCAAATAACATGTTGTTTTTCGAAGTATCAGCTTGGTTCGGGCCGGGTTAGGCAAAAAAAATTTGGTCGTATGTATCTAAATGCCCAAAATAAAAATATATTTCTTATGTGATATTAATATATGAATTGGGTAAATATTTTTATATTTATATATTTTTATTTATTTATTTCTTTTCGAGTCAAACATGAGCTGTTTAACGAGCCGAAGACGAGCTGCTTAACGAGCTGATGACGAGCTGTGTGAGAACAACAAGCCAAGTTGACATCCCTACTTTTAATAACTTATAGATCTATTTTTATACATGTGTACATCACATAGGTGCCTGCACAAATATTAAGAAAATCCTACTGACAAAAGAAACAAAGGAGTACAACGAAGGAGGGCCCACTGATGGGAGACCAAGGGCGGTTCTCAAACTAAAAATCAAGGGCCCACAGGCGGAAAACCAATGGAAAGATTAGGGGTATATCAGCGGAAGACCAAGGATCTATTATTGGAAGACCAAAGGTATATGAGCGGGAGATTAAGCATTCATTAGTGGAATACCAAAAGACATATCTGACCACGTGCAACCCCTGTTAAACCAAGGTTGGAGGCCAATCAAATAAATGTTGTCATAAGGAAAAACTAATGGAAGAATGCAGTATCACCATCTATTTCACAGATGCCATTGAGATTTCTTACAAAGGGTCGAGTACTAATCACCACATAACCACCCGAAGCATCCCCAAATGATGACCTCCTCAAACAGTAAACTACCTGTTGGATTACAGTGATTTACCCTCTCCTCAATGTCCTAATATTTCTCTGTTCACAAGAGTTCCTTATCCATGGATCAATAGTTGTCAACTAGACTAGCATAGCAGATTAACATAGCCAAGCTGACTATGTGAAGTCTTGCTGGCCCGAAGACCTTCTAAGGTTGACTGAAAACCCTGATACAACGCAATCGACCAAACATGTCTTGTTAAACCACAACCGACTGATCTCAGTTGTTCGAGTCATAGAGTGGCTGAATAAAAGGCCAATACATAGAAAATACCTAAAATATATTGTAACACCCTTTTCATAGCAGGGGCGGACATGTAGTTTTATATATTGTACCCCCTTCTTTATAAATTAGGGGATCATTTCAGGTGAAAGGGAAAATCAACAATTCTAATTGTTGTCCACTAATGTGAAGTGCTCTCTCTCTCTCTCTCTCTCTCTCTCTCTCTCTCTCTCTCTCTCTCTCTCTCTCTCTCTCTCTCTCTCTCTCTCTCATGCCTTGGACTCTATTCAAGAGCATATCTTAATTCAACAACATGAAAATTATGATTCCAAAAGCATCTATATACATTTCAAAAGATGGTTGACAGGCGAAACCGCCAACCACCCCCAACTCGCAACCCATCATATTTGGGTTGTTCCCATGCGCCCAACCACTCTAGTACCACCCCCATATAACGGACAACCCGCATGGGGAGATTCAAACCTCAATCCATAGGAGACTTATAACGCTGAAGTAGATACTACCAACTGAGCTGAAAACACAGACATATCTCTCTCTCTCTCTCATCTCTCTTTCTCTCAAACCCCCATATAGCGGACAACCCGCATGGGGGAGAAAAATCACTTTTTTAAACTTTTAGAGAGAAGTGCACCTTTTTAATCACAGGCAAGGTGGCACATATATAAAAAATTAAAATTTAGGTATGCAATATGTAAATCTTCAAAACAATTTTAGGTTGAATCTTATATCAACACTATGAGGAAACATTTTTTCCTTCATCCCCTCCCATTACTTTAGTTGCTATCAAGTCACAAAACAATTAAAAATCTGCCACTATTTTTCCCTTCTTTTTTTTTTTTTTGCAAATTAATAAAATAGTAAAATATATCTTTTTTTTTTTGCAATAATAAATAAAAATGGAACCTTTTGGCAAAGCAGCCGTTGTTAAACAACCCCCATGTGATGGTGGGCCAGACTTTTAGTCAGCCATTATGACACCCCTCCATTATGACAACCTACTACTTCACTTTCAAAACAAACATCAATATCCACATGTCATCATCATCATTCATATATTTATCATACATTTTTAAAACATTTATAAAAGCAACATGAATTTGCATGTAGAGTGGACCTATATATATATATATATATATATATGATAGTGTTGTTTATAAGTTCAAGTACATGCATACAACCATCTTACAAAATATTAATTAACAGCTATAGTTTATTCTTATATTTATAACACCAAATTCTTTCATATTATATTTTGGGTAGTATATATGTGAAAAAAGTAATGTATGTAAATGAGAATTAGGCTGTATGTATGTAAATGATCCTGTTTCATTTTTACTGCATCATAAACAGCCAAATATAACAAGATAAGAGCGACAGCACTCCACGCCATAAAACTGTTCTTCAACATCCCCACAATAATTTACAAAATCCCTAAACAAGCTGACAGCAGAAATTACACCCACAGAAAGCAAAGAAGCAGACAAAGCAAGCAGATAAGAGATTCAGCTACCATATAAGAAAGAAAAGATGGAGCAACAAGTACAGAAAACTAAGTTCATGGCCTGCTCTTGAACGGAATGGCTCTTATGACAACCTGATGATATATGGAAGCAAGCGCAGCCCCAATGAACGGTCCGACCCAAAAGATCCACTGAAATTCAGAAGAAGACATCATAATTGTTCAGTCCCAGGAGAAATCAAAAGAGGTTTTTTTTTAGCATGGAGATTGAAGAAAACCTGATCATCCCAAGCATGGGACCTGTTGTAGATTATGGCAGCTCCGAGGCTTCTAGCCGGATTGATGCCGGTCCCTGTGATCGGAATCGTGGCCAGGTGAACCAGGAAGACGGCGAATCCGATGGGAAGTGGTGCAAGTATCTGTAAACAAAGTAGGTTGGAAGATTAGTTTGAGATAGATTCTGGAGTTTTCTGTTGATGGAAGGAAGTATGGCTGTTAACAATCCGATTTCAAGCAGAAATGGGGCAGGCTCAAGATTGGCTTGAAAAAATTTGATCAAGATGTTGGCCCCTGGCTCGGCTCATTTATTTCAATCCAATCTAGATCCAAGCCAAGATTCAAAACCATTTTGAGCGAAAAATAATCTTCCGAGATAAATTTGCTAAATTTATAGCTGCAAGCTATTAACGATCCGATATTGAGCTGAGCTGAGCCGAGGTTGGCTCGAAGAAAATTAGATCCAAAACTTTGGCTAGGACTCATTTATTTCGATCCGATCTAGGTCCCAGCCAAAATTCAAATCAATCTTCAAGCCGAATTCACAGCTCAAAGTGTAAGCGGATTACTCACAGGAACATGAGAGTCTCTTGCATTCCTCTTGGCATCGGTGGCTGACAGGACAGTGTAGACGAGGACGAAGGTGCCGACGATCTCGGCACCGAGGCCGTCACCCTTGGAGTAGCCTGGGTTGACGACATTAGCTCCGCCATTGTTGGCCATATAAATGCTCTTCTTGAAGCCCTTGACTACGCCGGCGCCACAAATGGCGCCCAGGCACTGCATCACCATGTAGTAGAGAGCTCGGGTGAGGGAGAGCTTTCGGGCAAGGAAGAGACCGAAAGTCACTGCAGGGTTGATGTGCCCACCTGCATGGTCCAGATATAGTTCATCAGAGATCAAAATCCAATTTTTATTTAATTTGTAACAGGTTTCCCCTTGTTCTGTTTTGAATGGTTCATGGATCTAGAACATGAAATAATGAGTATTTTGTTATTGATAATTTCAACTATAAAAGGGTGGTTTCTCAAATATAAAATGTAAATTTTGGAAGAGAAAGCTGTAAGGTAAGTTGAGAAAATGACTCATTTTTTTAGTTTGGAGAGGAGAAAGAAACAAATTTGAGCTTTATATCAGCCCCTAAATCCTGCTACCAGACAGCACCTTAAACTGATAAAGACATTATCTTTGATGCACATAGGGAAATAGTAAGCAATCTCCATTAAAGAGGAACAAGAACAATGAGCCATAGACTCAAAATGAAAAAAAAAAAAAAAAAACATATAAGTCCAAACCTTCAAAGTAAACTAAGGTATAGAACCTGAAAACTACCATAGAAACTTCAAAAAAAAAAAAAAAACAAAAAAATATAAACCCTTTGGATCCCAGATCTCATAAAAAACAGCCTAAAATCTTCAAACTTACAGACAAAACAGAGATGAAATAAGAAAAAAAGAATACAGATCTAAAGAAAGCAAGGTTGTTTCACCTGAAATCCCGGCAGTACAGTACACCAAAGCAAAGATCATTCCGCCAAAAGCCCAAGCGATCCCCTGAATTCCTACTGTTCTACACCTATTATTGGAGCTCACCACTCCCATCACAGTCAGTATAGTTATATAGAGAAAGAGGAAAGTGGCAACGAACTCTGCTATCCCAGCTCTGTAAAAAGACCAGGATTTGAGCTCCCCAGGCTCGTAAAAAGGCGCCGCCGGAGGTTCCTTGTAGTCTTTCTCCTCCGTCTGCGCAGCAGTTCCGATAGGTTGCCTTTCGGGAAACTTGTTAGCTCCCAAGCTAACGTCTTCCTCCTTACCCTGCATCTTAAATTTCTCTGTTTTCTTCCAAATCTGCAAGGACAGAGGTGGGCGGGAGTAAAAGCTGAGAGCTTTATCGGTGGGGTGAAGAGAAGCGGCTGAGGGATAGGGTGCACTTTATAGGAGAGATGGCAAAAGAAAATGGCGTAATTAGGGACTGAAAATGATTATTATTTATTTTTTGGCTTTTTGTAGGTTGATGGCGCTTGTATTATGATGATAAGTAAAAGGTGGAGTTGGTTCTGGAAAGGGCATTCCAATTCGTGGTTTAGGGATTCCAATTCCTCCTTTCTCTTATCTTTTACTTCTTAAGTTTATTTATACTTTTATATTTTAATTTATTCTTGAATCAAAACCAATAAATGTGACATAAATAAAAAGAGAGAATCTGTATTGAATTAGCATATCTTATTATAATATAATGATGTTATATTTTTGCCCTAGTTTTAAAGGAGTCTGTATTGAATTATTTTTTAAATTTTAGATGTATGAGCTTATCGTCCGATTACTCTCTGGCTTAGACGATAAGCTAAGCTCGATCAGCTGAGAGCAGCTCGATTAGCCGAGTTTGGTCGACATAGTTCGGTTAGTTGAGATGGTCTAATTGTTGATCACTGACCACTGATCAGGAACCTCTACAAGTCCCTGAGATGATTGGAGATACTAGGAAAACAATTTTTCCCTTAATTGGTTCTCTTGTAATAATTGTTTAGAATACTTTGTTGTCTTGGTTCTGACTGAATGACTCATTCTTGCATTTTTGTGGTTGTGTTTCGCCCATCTCGTCATTCGATCAACTTTGGTCTTGTTAGCTTGGCTTGGACAACTTCATTTGGTCGGACAAATGTGCCTCATGATTTTCTGTTAGTGGGTCTCCTTTGTCATACTCTTTCATTCTGGACAGTAAGATCTTTTAAGGATCAACACTACCATATTTATTATATACATATTTTAGTTTCTCGATTTTCTTGATTCTTTAAAACAACGTTGTGATAAGAATATAAGAATAAAGTATTATAGTAGATTTCATTTATTATTTAATTAATGACTTAATACATGAAATCACTTGATTTATGTGTCTTTAACTCTTATAAATAATACTGTATGGGACTCCTTCCCATTCCTTTTGTTGCTCCATGACAACTCTGGTTTGAATCGATCAGCTTCCACATGGTGGGATGGAAAACATATCAAATCTTTTGGGATGGAAACCATATAAAATGATTCCCTAATTTATGTATGAGATTTTACACTATCCTGATGTTTCTTTTTTCTTTTTTTTAAAGAAATATGTACTAGAGAATTTCTATTATTTTTCATGTATGAGCCTATTGTCTTTCCGCCCTCTAACTCAGTCAGATAGGTTTAATTGGCTTCAGATTGACAAAATCAAATCGATCGACTGAGATCTCCTCGATCAACAGAGCTTGGTCACTATGGGTCAGTCAATTGATATGGCATGAATGTTGATCCTTAAACTTTGATGAGGAGCCCCAAGACATCCCTAGGATGTTTGGAGATACCAAGGAACATATTTTTTCCTTGAATTTACTCTCATGTAGTGGTTGGCTTTGATACTCTTTCTCTCATTTCTGATTGAGTGACTTGATCTTGCATCTTTTAGTCGTCTTTGACCCGTCTCCTTGTTCGATCATCTTTGGCCTTGTTGGATTGACAAAGACAACTTTACTCGATCAGACAAAGGGCATCATGATATTATGTCAGTGAGTCCATCATTTTCATACTCATTCATTCTAAACTGTTAGATCTCCTTAGGATCAGCATTGGCAGGTGTACAATATATATATATATCTTACGAGTTAATAAAATAAGAAGTTACACAGTTGGGGAGGGAATGCGGGTCCCCATCTAACACACAAACATAAAACACATTATAATCCCAGAGGTTCCACATTCCGCAGTACAACTCCACACAAATAAAAAAGAGAAGAGTGCAACAAAGCTACACCAAAAAGTACAACCATCAATGCCAAAAGAAATTGTATATTAAAAGGATCAAAATTATCTAAGCCCATGCCGACGGTGTTGAAAAACATCAAATTCAACTTGTGGCTTGATGATCCAATTAGAATCGCAGAGATAATCATCTGAACCTATAAACAGTGAAAACAATCTTTTGTCAAGATATATTATAGATGCACCGTGAATTTGTCAAGTGTTGCTTCTCAAAATGAAGCTTCCATAATACAGAAACTTGATATTCAATATAAGTAGTATGTTTAAGAGTTTGACTTCAAAAATGGTAATACCCCACCAAAACAAATAAAATCCAACCAAATGTACGCAAAACCATCAAAACAAAAAGAGAACTAAATCAGACAACTAAATCCCAGGAAGAAAATAGTGTCCAAATATCAAAAAAAAGAAGAAAAAAATCTAAGATTATATAGAACCGAAACAGGGAAGCCAATGAAAGAAAAAAAAGCCGAAATGCAAAAAGAAGCAAAAACCGTAAAACATCCATATAATGTCTTCAAATCTTAAGATCAAATCCCAACAAAATTCCAACATCAAACTCCAAGTTCGAGAGAAAAGCAAGCTAGCTCAGGAAACCCAAACTAAGAAGCAAAAACACATGATTAAAATCTAATAAAAGTGGTATCCAAGAGGCCACTCCTAATGAGAGTATGCAGATATTGTGGAGGAGAGTTCCCCACAAAAGCTCCACGCATTTGACATTTAGACAACCAGTCAGCAGAGGAATTACCCTCTCTGAAAATAAAAGAGTATTGGATTTGAAGACTATGCATCTCAATAAGAAACCAAATCCTTCTCAGCCAAGTAATAATACACCAAGCTGGCTTAATTTTTGCCATAAGCATGTTAAAGAGTGCTTCAGAATCAGTTTCCAAAATGAGACAAATAAATTTCAGCGAAACAGCAGTTTGCAATGCAACAAGCACTGCACAAATTTCAGCTTCCAGGGTAGTAGTGCCATTGCAAGGGGAGGCAAAGTAGGCTAAGCATTTACCATAAGCATCTCTAAATAGACCTCCCACACCAGCATAACCAGAAGTATAGCTACCATCCACACCATCCACATTAACTCCTTGGGGGCGGTGCCAATTTAATCAAAAAGGGTTTCCTACACCTACCCAAATCGGTTTCCTACGCCTACCCAAAGGAGGAGAGGCAGCAATTCTATTCTCTAGCTTCTAGATCTTGTGAAAATGAGCCACTACAAGAGTAGAAACAAAGATAAAAGTATGGAAAAGATTATCATATTTATGACTATTTCTAGCCATCCAGATGTACCAAAGCACAATAGTAGGAAAGCAATAGAGCTTTTAAAGGCATGATCAAAATCCTTCCAAATCCCAACAACAGTTTTAAAATTCAGGTTTGAGGGCCAATTTATACCAAAATAACACCCTAACTGATTCCAAACATCTTTAGCAAAGTGGCAATTAAAAAACAAATGGTTAGCCAATTCAACATCCTTTTTACAGATGTAGCAAAATGAAGCAAGTTTCAGCCCTTTCATTTTGAGAATATCATCCAGAGGAAGTAAATTATGAAAGTGTCTCCAAAGGAAAAAAGAAGATAGAGGGAGATATATATTTATGCCACGTGTAAGTTTTCCACTTCCAAGTAGTAAAAGTATGCAAATTCGAATAAAGCAATTTAGTGACAGAAGATCTACTTTGAAATTTCCAAATGGGAATATCCTTATCATGAGCTCTAATAGGTATAGTGGCAATGGCAGGAGCTAAATTACCAACTAAAGAGTTAAGAATAGGCATATTCCAAGCTCCATCAATCCAACAATCAGAAACTAACAAGTTCGAGTCATAACCAATATTAAGCAAAATGGGATGAGAAGAAATACCCCATTCATCATTCCAGAAAGAGATTCTGTCATCCCCAATGTCCAAATAAATAATATGAATTGTTTGTCAACGTTAGAAGCAGGCAGAAGGGGACCCTAAAGATCTTTGTGTAATGATCGCTAGTTTATATTACATGAGAAAATTCCTCTATAAATAATGAGAGATCTATATAACAATGGATGATTAACTAATCATTGGACATTGTATCTTTATCATTTTCTAGCTCTTCAGGTCATTCCTCCCCTCCTTAACTCTGTCCTCGAGGCATGAGTCCACGAATTGGTCAAAATTCAACAACCAAAGAATTTAATGTAAAAAATAGATATTGAAACATATGATAATATAAAGAAGTACAAAGTCACATAAAACTCTTTAAAAAGTTATCTAAAATGTACAAAAAAAAGAAATATTATCAGACTAAAGTATCTTACAACATGTAAATGGCCTCTGGATACATTAATGATTTACACAACAATAACAATTGTTCATATCAAATCATTAAGATAAATAGTATATGTTACAAAGTGGATTATGCATTATTCAAAATGCCCAACTAATTGCATCCTTAAATATTCTAAACTTAAAATTGTAGGAATATATTGATGTCAATTTAGAAGGAGAACAAATAATATGAATAATTATTTTTAGGGATATCTATACATTGTATGACTTTGCCACCAATTAGCCTAGGTAGAAACATAAGATAATTGCATTGTTAACAACAACATTATTATTTTGACCCTCAATTAATGAATTAAGGTAAAAGTAAAAGGACACTTTTGTAGACACTTTTGTAATGTGGTACTACTCACCTACCACATCTCACCTACCGTTCACCCACCGTTCAACTACCGCTCACCTACCTCCCACATACCACTCTCTTGCTTCTATAAATAGAGAGGGTGTGAGGCTTAGGAGAGCAAGGGAAGAGATCTTAAGCTACCACAAAGGAGGAGAGAATAGCTAGAGAACTAGAGAGGAGGAGAGCATCTTGAGGCCTTGTATCAAGGTGTCGCTTGAAAGGGAGACCATAGAAGAAAGATGAGGGTCCATCTCTATGTATAAGTTATGTATTCTCCATTCCTTTTGCCTTAGTGAACTATTTGATTGATTCCCTTTCGTGGACGTAGATCCAGTTGGATCGAACCACGTAAACGATCTGTGTTTGCTTGTGTTCTTTTTCGTCTCATTTCTATGTCAGGAAGTACATATCACACAACAAACATAAAGTATGTGAACATTATACAAAGCATC